TAGAATTGCAAACAATAATTACATTACATCTATTGCACGGGGAGACAGTGTGCTAGATATGATTTCGCTTTGAAATATTCGCTTGTAACACCACATTAATGATTGCGTGAAGAATCTTATTATCATTTAAACGGAATGGTTACGAATGGATATTCAGGCAGCATCTTACTGACCTGGTTTAACCAACACATCGATCAATAACGATCATTGTACAGTAGTATGTAAATATAGGTAGCTGGATGCTCCATAACATCATCACAGTCAATATTCCGTGTATCCACCATTGGTTTCATGACACAGCTGCACACGACATGTAGTGGAACTTCTATGAATTACATCATTCTGTATTTGGTGCCATTATTCATTAAGTGCCTCTTTTTGGACGTCTCCTTTGCTGGAGAGTTAAATCGTATTTGAATCTAAATGAGTCGAATATATGCATGTCCACTCCTGTATTGTTGGGGACGCGTTCTGGAGTATATTCTTACTCGTTCATCGGATAATGAACATTGTGTTTGATGTGGGTGATGAAAGACTGAGAATATAATGTAACTCCTATACAACGTGTTCCTCAAAATATGAAGAAGTCATGCATAAATTGCCTCTTCTCACCCTCCCCACCCCTTTGTGTGTATGTCTTCGAAAATATATTAATGCACATCAGTGATTTTTTAGTCTTCAATTGTGATAATCAAAGTGTTTCGAGCGATTTTCAGTTCCTGACCACAGATCATTTAGTCATTGCGCTGCCATCAGTAAATGGTACAGTCTACACGAAACATCGCAGAACAGTGAGCCTCCTTGTCTGTTATCTTATACATTGGCTGTCCCGTGTACGAGAATGGACGCTGGAAGGTGCCCCTTCCTCCCACCCCACCCACACACACACACACACACCACACACACACCACACACCCTTAGGTCTAAAGGCCGAATACCATGCTGACGCAGTTGCCTGGAGACAGCGACACTTTTGTCAATGTCCTTGTGCAGTTGATGTTGATAACGTCAACTAAAGGTCAAGACCTAGTTCCTGAAATTAGGAATACACAAATAACGACCATCATTGTGTGTGGAAATGCTTAGCCCGCCTGTCCTGGATCTGTTCACTGTCAGTCCTGTGTGTCGACACAGCAACCTGGCGGCTGCTGCATTAGTGCAACCAAGGTGTAGACAATGTCATGACTGCCTCCCAGCTGTAACACATGTTCTGTTCGGACGATAAACGTGGCATGTTACTTTTGTTTTCTGGACTCTTTATGCACTGAAGAATAATGTTACGTGTTACCCAGATGCTCGCTGCGACCGTTTTGCAAATTTTAGAAAATACTTGTATTTGGAATGCAATGAATGCTCCCATGTTTGTGGCATGCCTGGAACTGGTTTTATGTGGGAACTTCTTTCGTGTACAAATCCAATTTCCAATAGGTTTGATTTTGATACTGGTTTTTTTCCCATCTATTAAAATCTAAATTGCTTGTTCATATCAAAGCCAGTAAGCTGACTGACAGTATGGTCTAAAAATAGAAAACGCCATTGCAAAACTATCCCAGTCTTATACAGAAGACAGAACGTGGGAGGCATATGTTTTAATTTGCTGCTGTTATCCTTTGGTTGTTACACAAACATGTATTGCTGACTAGACAACATTCATCAAAGATTCTCTGAAGGTCACTCAGGTTTGGCCAAGGTTTGAAATACGGACTGCATGAAATGTTGCATGTAAATAAGCAAGTTAGTCAAGGGAGATAAATGTCATTATCTTCCTTTTCTCAATTTGCTGTTATAAATGGGTATTCGGTCTCTCGATAAGTCAAGTGTAATCATTAGTTCATCCGCAAATGTGAAAACACATGTTTATCGATATTGTAACAGTTTTATCGGCAATTTAAATTCCCGATCTTGGCAAACGAACGAAAATGAGAATAATTTGCCTCATTTTATGTCTTGAATATGGAATGAGTTTAAACATAAATAAATCGTCGTGTCCAATTTCACATCTTCAACCTATAGAGTGAAAATGTGGAGAAATGATGAAGTATGTTTTCTCCGTAAATGCTGGACAAAATCAATTCTTCTTTCAGATGGTAAAATTCGGAAAGATGATGTAAACATACATCATTGGCGCAGTGATGAAATCACGCCAAAGGTAATGCTAAAATGCTGGTAATTTGTGTATTGTGTGAATCTTGTCCAACATCAAGTTTTTTATCCATTTTCTTAATGTCATTGATCAATACGTATATCAAATCATGTAAGGTAGCAACAGATAAGCATGATGTATGTTGTTCACCCCTGTGTACAGATGTAATTAATCCACTATGACGGTAATTCACAAATATCGCCTGTGTCTATGTGATGTGTACATATGTCTTGTTAGAGAGCCACGCGACACCAGCTCTACAGAAATAATAGCAATGTTAATACATATATCCTAAAGCTAAGTCTATAGAAAATAGTTGGCCTTTTCATTTCAACTTCTGCTCTTAACGAATAGATTTCGAAATATATCTCAGGCACATCTATGTTTACTTTGTTTTGACATTTATGCTTGGAACACCCTTTGTTTATAGGCAGTTGTTTTTCAAGAATGGACTCACATTTCAAACGTCTGGAAGAGATTACATTCGAGATATTAATCGAATGCTGCTTCGACAAAGGAAATGTGAAAGTTTACCTAATCTCGGATTGTTTCCTGTGTTTCCAGCCATATTCAAACATTTCAAAGGTCAAAATAAAAAAATTATTGGATTTCTCTACAAGTAATGATTGCTTCAACCTTGCACTTAATTCTTGTAAGATTATCAAACTAAACCGTACTGCTTCCCACCACCACTACACAAAAACCGTATACATGGTTTATGGTGTCACCTGTCTATAGACTGCATCTTCGCTTCTAACTCGTTGACATTTAAGGGCATGAATAACGCTTACGTTAATAATATCTTCTGACGTCCATCTTGACAGAATTGCAGTTCCTTGTGTCCGTGTCCATGGCGTATAGTCGGTTGTATTAGATGGTATGTGTGTGCGTGCGTGCGTGCGTGCGTGCGTGTGTGTGTCTGTGTGTGTGTGTCTGTGTGTATGTGTTGGGTAGGGAGTGGGGGAAAGGACTGAGGTGACAGTCGTGTCCATTTAATATGTTATGACGTCGCTATGTATTTATGACGTTAACTTCATGTTTAGGGATGGGATTCAGTCAACTGGTAGTAACAGCTATTAAGTAATGCTGTCAACACAAAAGCTTGGAAACATCATATGGAATGGCCCTTGAATAATTATTAAATAAACGAATATATAGTTTACTGGACATGGTGTATATCATGAGAAATGGATCGTTCTCACGGTGGGGAACATATAGTTCCATTTTCAGTGAAGATTATGATTTAGGTTTTGAAGCAATGACAAAAATACGTGGTCGAAGGGAAACTTTTTCATCATGACGCCACGGTGGGCGCATTTTCAGTGAAGATTATGATTTAGGTTTTGAAGCAATGACGCCACGGCGCCTACCTGTGTGCTTTACGATGTCACTTGACCTGTTTGTGCCGTTCATGACGTCCTAATGCAAACTTATCTGTAGCACGACGTCACAACGTGTACTTGTATACATTATGACGTCACAATATAATTGTTTGCATTATGACGTCACGTCATACATTCCTGTACATAATGACGTCATGTGTCATATTGAAAGCGCGTCAGTCACTTTTGTTCGTACACACTTTGACGTCACAGGATCTATCAAAACGACACACAGCCTACGCTTGTACATATAGACGTCCACCACTCCTGCTCTTCAACATTCACCTAAATGCCTCTTTCCATCAGTACCATTGAGTTCCTGCAGCACTTGACCTTTGACATTATTTATTCTCTACAGAAATCGTTTGCGCAGATTGATCCTATCAGAACTCGTTGCTTCTGATGCATACGTGTTCCAGAATAACTCTTCTGTCTCAGTGCAACCATGCTGACAGTGGTCAAGTCTCATGGTCAGTCCTCCAAATATTCCACCTAACATGCCCCTTACTCCCGTGATCTTGGTCAGTATAGCAGGAACACACACACACCGCTATTGCTTCTTGTCCATTAACTCATTTCCATTTACACCCTTCGTCACATACTGATTTACTTAACAAACCCATCACCTTTTTGTCCCAGAACCAGCTCGTATCTTTGACCTTCATCTCCTGTACACGTTTCTGAATGTAGCTCCATTCTGTGGTTATTGACTGGTTTGGCCCAGTAAATATCGACAGTGATCTTGACCGTGACATGTGTACGTGCTGTGAACAAAGAAACGAGATCATATTTTACGTTATTAAGCCAACCGACTGTTTCTGGCTAAATTGTGCCCTTTGTTCACACAACAACAAAACTGAGACACATCTAAGCAAGTATCGCGAAAACAATCCAAGAGTAACTAAACGTCATTTAATAAAGGATGGCATCGTTGGTCGTATTCCTAAAGAATTAAATACAATTTAAAGAATTATCTTTAATGAAGATGCTGTGAGTTTATTGTAGTCATGATAAACAAACTCAATAGTTCATTTTCATATAAAATATAAAATAATTTGTAAAATTAACCTTTTCTCCTGAAGATTATTCTTTTAAATCTATAGCCGAGATGTTCATTTGACAGTAGTTGATGATGATTGATGTAAGAGTCACGTAACATCTGCCTCGAGTGCTATGAATGATTACCGATACATCTCGAATCAATATTTCTCTACCAATACCCACTAGTGTCGGAAAACACCCAGTCGATCCCCTAATATATCCAGGCCATTCCATACATTAATACTGTCGATTCTTCTCCTAGCCTGGCATCCATCAGTCTGACACCGACCCAACAACTTCAAGCAAGACCATGTGCAGGCCCTCCTATCTATGTGCCGAAAAAGCGTTGAATGAGATCATAATGATGGCGTATTGGTAGCATAACGTCTGTATTGCAATCTAATGCAGTTTATTTGCAGAACAAAAAGGGTACTATCAGATTTGACAGCGGCCGTTAGCGGAATACGCGTACAGCCGCTATGCGAAACTCGGTAGAATGCAGCGGAATAACTTCGGCTGTATCCGTCAAAAACCGATCGTAGTCGAGTGACAACACCATTTCCGGAAAAAACATTGTACGACAAAATGGCGGACGAAACCAAAGAAGTGACAAGGTGAGTAGTTTCTTTTGTATATTCCAGGTTGAAGTTTTGACTTTAATGCCTAACACCCACATCATTGATCAACCATCATGTATATGTACCCGGATTTGTCAATTGATGTGGAATACATGTTTTGTTTAATCAGTTACCGTAAATATGGGTAGGGTTCGGCCTCGTCAGTGTGTTCACTGTTCAGCCTCAAGTTAGGTTACACAGGTGTGTCTGAAAGAAGTGTTGCAGGCTGAAAGTTAATCGAGGCGGGTATGATTTCTCCAAATCGCACATTGGTACCAGTTTTTTCAGTGTTAGCATGTTGTGTCTAAGATATGTAGTAGTGAACTTGTTCTTGTTTAGATCTCGAGTACAGTTGTGTCACGTGAAATTACGGTGAATATCGCGAATGTTTGTTTACGGCTGTTTTTAGCTGACAACAACAACAAAGGATATGTTGTTGATTTTTAAGAGGTGTGCATGATCAATTGCGCAAATATGTAACTTATTTCATAGGTAGTCAGGTGCAACTTGCGTTAGAATATATGATGATCATGCATTTGGTATCTCAATGTTGATTAACATGTTAATTTGTTGAAATTATGGTATACTAATCATGCTTTTGGACTCATGGTACACAGATATTAAACACATTTCAGGTTCGTGAGTGGTTCCAGGCGTGTGATGACCCAGGGATATCAGCTATTGACAGATGCAGGATGATACATATGGGTATATAGGTGAGTTGATTTAGAATTTCCTCTGTGGACTACAGATCATTGTAATATGACCAACATCCATAATGAAAGCTACGGCGGATAGATCGTTAACTCTCTTAACTTCATGAAATTGCTATATTTCTTATTTTTACAGGTTCAAGAAATTCCTTCTGTCACTGGCTGATTTGTCCACCTTCCCTCCAATGGGTTTACATGGGGTCACTTCTATTCCAAAGCCAGGGATAACAGACGTCTTCATCAAACTTGACGACTTGACGTTCTTTAGCCTTATACATATATATATGAATCTATGATATATTTTATGGATATACAACTTCTTTATTCTGTATAGGCGACATTTCGACATAGATTCTAATGTCATTGTCAAGCAAGTAGATTTTAAAGGCGCCGTACTACTGTTGCTAAAAGGCTGTAAACGTTGCTTTCCAGGCCTCAGTTTTAATGATAAAACGTTTGATGGTAGGCATGTACAGGACATTTCCAGAATGCGACGCCATATTGTCAGGTCACCTTAAATCATTGACAAAATATACCCTGTGCTATTCCCTATTTTGACTTTTAGTTCTTCAGTAAACAGTTGGCCTTTATATGAATTTCTGACGGAATCCAATCCCTAGTACACCCACCTTGTCATTTGTGCTGAAACATGCTCATAAAAAAGACAGAATCCTACATTTGGCTCTGGTTTCAGTTGATATTTGTTATGGGATTTATACACAGCCATAACGGTTCTTTTTAGAGCTATTGAAGTTGCATTTTCAGCAATAATTACAGTTTCATGTGCAGCTTCAACAGTTGCATCTGCAGTAACATCTGTCTCTACAGCTTCAACGTTGGCACAAATATAGTTGTCAGATTTCAGAAATTTCTCGTATTCGCGCTACATAGAACGGCATGAGAGTTCACCATACAGAAAGCGTCAGAGGAATAGCGTTCATGCAACCAGTGGTTTTATGGAACATCAGAGTCCAAACATGAAAACAATCACACCTAATCCCCTCAACGTCGCATATTTCTTTTTAATTTCCGCCTCTCAAATGTCAAGGTCTCTGTTGTGGGATGATCTGAATACTGATTACATTATATCTGTAACTTTTAGCCATTGCGATTGCATTTTATCCTTTTGAATCTTAAACCCTGGGAGAATTACAGCCTACATCTCGACTCCTCTTTCGGAAATAATTATACTTTTGTTTTTATTTGGGCTGGAACTACTCAAAATACAAATCTAAAACAGCAGCTGCTACAGTTGTACTTGCAGTTACATCTATGTCTACAGCTTCAACGTTGGCACAATTATAATTGTCAGATTTCTATCTGTGTCCCTCACTCCTGCTGTAAACATATATGTCATCCTCACAAATGCTGTAAATAATAGCATCAGTCAATCCCTTGGGGAATGTTCTTAACGCTTTAGTCCTTAAACGACCACACGGATCTCGGCGTCCAGAACCTCATTGTAATCAAAGCCGACACCTCACCTATCAATTCTTGTGCTAATTAGTAGCAATTCCCGCTTAATCCATCTCCTCTGTCACCTGTCGGACCTATATTAGTCAGTCGCAGAATGGAAAAAGCAGTCCTTCCAGGAAGGCAATCCCTAATACACCAAAGAAAGGATTGTAAGTCTCTCGTTGTGTGTACATAGGTATATGTGTGTCTAGGCCACCTCACCTCACATCACCTCACCTCACATCACCTCACATCACCTCACCTCACCCCAACCCACCCTGTCGAATGTAGTTTTAACGTGTAGATTGCATGAAGTGTCTGTTGTTTATAGCATAGAAGCATAAGTCGGTCACTTATTGAAACATTACAGAAAAACCGTCATTCTAATGACGTCTAATTGACGTCATAAACAATGGATGACGTCAGTGTCATATACTTCCGGCTATCTACAGTATGACGTCATGTTGCTGAAGACATCTTTCGCAAGAGATCAAAAGAATCGAGAAAAGAAACTGAAAATTCCTTAAAAAATAGTTCACCCAGAATAACACAATGGGTATTTTATTCGGGGCGTCACTGGAAACTGTGAAGTGGGGCCAAATAGACAGTAATTGCATGCTACATATCTATATCAATGGCAGCCTAGATGACATCAAACGGTATTGCAAAACATGTCAAATTCTCCAGGTTTCAAAACTTCAAATTACGATGTGACGGAAACAGGAAGTCCGGGGGTAAATTTATCTCCTTGATGCTATACTCAGGCTCTCTATTTGTAGCCACACAGCTCCTAATCCAGCGCTATTTCCAGCAGCCGACATTTTATGTGACATATGTATCGACAAAATATTCAACAAAAAATTCTTGTATTCCCGCTACATGGAACGGAAGAGAGTTCACCATACAGAAAGCGTCATAGGAATAGTGTTCACGCAACCAGTGGTCTTATGGAACATCAGAGTCCAAACATGAAAACAATCACACCTAATCCCCTCAACGTCGCATATTTCTTTTTAATTTCCGCCTCTCAAATGTCAAGGTCTCTGCTGTGGGATGATCTGAATACTGATTACATTATATCTGTAACTTTTAGCCATTGCGATTGCATTTTATCCTTTTGATTCAAATCTTATTTGTATCTTAAACCCTGGGAGATTTACAGCCTACATCTCGACTCCTCTTTCGGAAATAATTATACTTTTGTTTTTATTTGGGCTGGAACTACTCAAAATACAAATCTAAAACTGCAGCTGCTACAGTTGCATTTGCAGTTACATCTACATCTACAGCTTCAACGTTGGCACAATTATATTTGTCAGATTTCTATCTGTGTCCCTCACTCCTGCTGTAAACATATATGTCATCCTCACAAATGCTGTAAATAATAGCATCAGTCAATCCCTTGGGGAATGTTCTTAACGCTTTAGTCCTTAAACGACCACACGGATCTCGGCGTCCAGAACCTCACTGTAATCAAAGCCGACACCTCACCTATCAATTCTTGTGCTAATAAGTAGCAATTCCCGCTTAATCCATCTCCTCTGTCATCTGTCGGACCTATATTAGTCAGTCGCAGAATGGAAAAAGCAGTCCTTCCAGGAATGCAATCCCTAATACACCAAAGAAAGGACTGTGAGTCTCTCGTTGTGTGTAGATAGGTATATGTGTGTCTAGGCTATCTCACCTCACCTCACATCACATCACCTCACCTCACCTCACCTCACATCACATCACCTCACCTCACCTCACATCACATCACCTCACCTCACATCACATCACATCACCTCACCTCACCCCAACCCACCCTGTCGAATGTAGTTTTAACGTGTAGATTGCATGAAGTGTCTGTTGTTTATAGCATAGAAGCATAAGTCGGTCACTTATTGAAACATTACAGAAAAACCGTCATTCTAATGACGTCTAATTGACGTCATAAACAATGGATGACGTCAGTGTCATATACTTCCGGCTATCTACAGTATGACGTCATGTTGCTGAAGACATCTTTCGCAAAAGATCAAAAGATTCGAGAAAAGAAACTGAAAATTCCTTAAAAAATAGTTCACCCAGAATAACACAATGGGTATTTTATTCGGGGCGTCACTGGAAACTGTGAAGTGGGGCCAAATAGACAGTAATTGCATGCTACATATCTATATCAATGGCAGCCTAGATGACATCAAACGGTATTGCAAAACATGTCAAATTCTCCAGGTTTCAAAACTTCAAATTACGATGTGACGGAAACAGGAAGTCCGGGCGTAAATTTATCTCCTTGATGCTATACTCAGGCTCTCTATTTGTAGCCACACAGCTCCTAATCCAGCGCTATTTCCAGCAGCCGACATTTTATGTGACATATGTATCGACAAAATATTCAACAAAAAATTCTTGTATTCGCGCTACATGGAACGGAAGAGAGTTCATCATACAGAAAGCGTTAGAGGAATAGCGTTGATGCAACCAGTGGTTTTATGGAACATCAGAGTCCAAACATGAAAACAATCACACCTAATCCCCTCAACGTCGCATATTTCTTTTTAATTTCCGCCTCTCAAATGTCAAGGTCTCTGCTGTGGGATGATCTGAATACTGATTACATTATATCTGTAACTTTTAGCCAGTGCGATTGCATTTTATCCTTTTGATTCAAGTCTTATTTGTATCTTAAACCCTGGGAGATTTACAGCCTACATCTCGACTCCTCTTTCGGAAATAATTATACTTTTGTTTTTATTTGGGCTAGAATTTCTCAAAATACAAATCTAAACGATCAATTCCGAAATGGGAATTAATCAAAATAATGATGTACTTCCCGACCGATTTTTCGCATTTCTTCCTCAAATAAATAGAAAATATGCCACAGCACGTGCAGCCTTCATATTGTTAGCTTGCTCACGCCCAGGAGCCCCTGACATCCTGTCTCCCTGATAAGCACTATTAAGGGTTTCAATACGGAATAAATTCAGTTGCATTAACTCTGTTCGCTAGGAGACGTGGAACCAGCGAGAGGATGCTGGGAAATTAAATCACACTTTTTCAGCTCCATTGCGTGAATTCATTCATTAGATAAACATTTTTGTTCGTTTTTGTATCAGATTAAATGTTGGTGAGAAGTTATCGAGTTTTAGCGCTCACGGAAACGGTGGAACTTAAGTAGGTGGGTTGACACGGGCAACCAGTGATAATCGCTACTTGAATACAATCCTTTGAAACACTGGTCATAAAATATCCAGTTATTTTAGAAATAGTACATCAACGTAGGATTTGCCAGGAATAGCCACAGATATTGGGATATTGCAAATATAGATTGTGATGACGTTTTCGGTTCATTTCAAATCCCTTGACAGCTGTACTTGTGAAGATGCATTTGGCAAAGGGTTATGCAATTATTTGCCGTTTAATTACGTTACCGTGCATATTGATATTGACAGCATAATTTGACTGCATTGGGGTGTAATGTAAACTTGGTGTAATCAGTCATTTAACATTGTTCAAATACAGACACAAATATTTGTTGATACTTTACGTTAGAATTGAACTACAACACAAGTGATAAAAAATGGCAGCAAATCAACCACACATACTGCTTATAAATGTAACAGGTTGTTGCGAGTGGCTCATTAGGTAAACAAATTAAACATGTTTCCATGTGGGTGCCGTTTTTCAAAGCGATCGTATCGGTTAAGTGACCGTCAATCCCGTACCTTGACATTAAACCGCCTCCGTGGTGTAGTGGTTAAAGCGTC